TGGAGCGTATCCTAGAAACACACATTTGAGGGACTTAGGATCTAGCTTGCTGCGATGTTGCTGATTTATATGAACAAATGTTGTGCAGCCGAATACTTTGAGTGGGATATGTGAGGCAAAACGAATATGTGGGTAGGTATGAAGTAGCCTTTGAAATGGTGTTCGGAAATCTAGAACACGGGAAGGCATACGATTGATGAGATATGTGGCTGTTAACATTGCTTCTCCCCAAAAATGTTTAGGAACATGAGTGGCTATCATAAGAGAACGGGCGACTTCCAAAAGATGCCTATTTTTTCTCTCCGCCACTCCATTTTGTTGTGGAGTTTCTACACAAGAGCTAATATGTATGATACCTTGGCTATTTAGATATGACCCGAGCTGTGAGTGAAAGTATTCTCTCCCATTATCCGTTTTGAAAACTTGGATTTTTGTGCTGAATTGGGTTTGGATCATTTGGTTGAAGGTTTGAAAAATTCGGCCAATATCTGATTTTTCTTTCATCAGAAAAAGCCAAGTGAGTCTTGTGTGATCATCAATGAAGGTAACAAACCACCTAGAACTAGTAATATTATTGACACGAGAAGGTCCCCAAATATCACTATGAATCATGTGAAATGGATGAGAAGACTTATAAGGTTGCAAAGGGTATGAACTGCGAGTATGTTTGGATAATTGACACACCTCACATTGAAATTTTATTGAATCTTTATTGAACAAAGAAGGTAGCAACCTTTTTAAGTACGAGAAATTTGGATGACCTAACCTATAGTGCCACAATCTTACTTCACTCTCTTCCTTAGCACGAGATGCTACACATGACATCTTCTTGTTTTTCCATTCTGAGGCATTAACTCGCAGAAGGTAGAGGCCCGCATCCATCTCAGCACTGCCAATCGTCATCCCCGAGTTCAAAACCTGAAATTCACATGAGTGTGGGAAAAATTTAGTAGTGCAGCCTAAATCTTTGGTTAACTTGCTGATGGAGAGAAGATTATAGCTGAGTTTGGGAATAAATAATCGAATTCAAGTGTTATATCTTTTGAAATAACCACCGATCCAACACCGACCACCTTTGAGCAAGAACCATCGCAATTCGAACGCTAGTGCCGTTTTGACATGGATTGTACTCGTTGAACACCGTGATATCTCCGGTCATGTGGTCGGATGCTCCCGAGTCTACAACCCAAGAGGTGATTTTCTCCCGTTTAGCACTAAAGGCATTTAGAGAATTACCTCGTTGAGCTATTGTTCTTCGTACTAACCCCTTATGAACGGGTTGCCTTCGAACCCGATTCCCCGTAGCAGCCTTTTTCAAGCATCTCCAGTTGCTCTTTGTTGAAGGGACTCGAATCTACCGGCGTTTGTTTCGGTTTGGACTATGTTGCTTCGCTTCTCCCGGTCTTGAGTAGGACGTGAGGCGATGGCTTCCAATCATCCGGCCGACCATGAAGTTTCCAAGCATGTGTCTTTTGTGTGACTGTCCGTTTGCAATGATCACACCACGGACGACCACCCTTTCGCTGGTTGTTGTTGTTTGACCGAGTGCCTCGACCGTAGGATGGTTGAGATCCTCGGGCTATTAAGGCAGAATTTTCTGGATTGGTCTGGTTTTTTGAACAACCAAGCATCACCTTTCGCCGAGTCTCTTCTCTCCTGACCTCCGCAAAAACTTCTCGTACATTAGGTAGGGGCTTTATGCTCAGAACTCGTCCACGTACCTCGTCAAGCTCTTGATTCAAGCCTAACGAAATTTATAGATGCGTTCTCGATCTTGAATCGCTTGTACCGCTTGCTATCTTCGAGGACAACTCCACATCATATCTTCCAAAGATGTCAAGTTGCCGCCAATGACGCATGAGTTGGTTAAAATAATCGATGATTGAAGATTCCCCTTGCCTTAGATCATGAAGAATGCCCTTGATCTCGAAGATGGCGAGGTGTTATCTTTGTTGGAATAAGTTTCATGAACAAGCATCCCAAATCTCCTTATTGTTTGGTAATACATGAAATTCTCCCTGTTTCATTCGTCATTGAATTAGCTGACCAGGACATCACCATGTTATTTTCCACCTTCCATGTTCGATAGTTTGGGCTTGTCGCCTCGGGTTGTACGGCAACTCCGGTTAGGTAATCTTCTTTACCTTTTCCGCAAAACGAAAATCATGACAGAATGGGACCATTGATTGAAGTTGTGACCGGTAAGTTTATGACCCGGTGATGAGAAGAGTTCCCCTTCGGATACATTGATAGGTTGGGTAATCAAAGGAGAGTTCGAAGCTTTAGGGTCTCGAGGTTTCACTCTCAACCTCGCTTGCCATGGTGGCTCTAGGGTATTTTGTCATGGTGGAAACACTCGGAGATGTGGTAGAAAAGAATGGTCCAGATCGAGGCTCGATACCATGTAGAAATTTAGGAGAAACTGTTCTAAGTTTTATTCTCCAAAAAGGGCTACGAAATTACATGAGGCCTCCGGCCTTTTATAGTTGCTCGTCCAAGCTAATTATTTTGTGCTAACTCGAAGCAAAAAGCCGATATACTAGCCATAAATCTGGTTAGTATCTCTGGTTTAAAAAATTATCAGCACCCTAAAACTTAGGAAACAAATTCCTAAAAGCTAACAAACAAAATCCTGAAAATCTGGAAACAAAATAATCGAACTTCTACTGCTAACTAAAATATCCGGATCTGGTTTTCAACATAAATCATGTGCAAAAAGGGCTGCATCCTATGAGAGTATTTTGAGCATTTCACTGTAGCCTAGTTGATGATTTTTGGTCTTCAAATTTTTATGTCGGAGGAGGCGGACCCATATTATATAACCTTGGGTTTCTGCTTACTGGAAAAAGTGAAAGAGAAAACCATGGTTTTGTTGTCTCTTGCACTTGTTTATGCGGATTCATTTTTATCAAATTGTCTTGTGTGGACAATTAATGCTTGGACATCCAGTTGCACGATTAAGAATGACGAGACTGATGAGGGGTGAGGGAATTGGATTTGATTTGAACAAGTTTTTGTCCGAAATGGGTTTTGCTTTTCAATAAATGCAATTCCACCATCACCCTCCATAACTACATCTATTATGGCATTATTCATGAATTAGTGAGTTCACTTCTGATTCTCCTCGTTACATACACATAAATTCTTCTTTCAGCAAAAAATTCAGATTAAAGTTTTCAAAGATATCGCTCGCGATATCTGATAGTTGGCGGGAGTTCAAATTCAGTAGTTTCATATCAAAGGTGAATAACCTTAATAAGGTTACCAGTTCTTGTGAAACATTTTGAAAATCTCCTCTACAGGTTCAAACTACTATAAAATGAGTTTAATTTGTTTCATTCTCATGGAGTCAGGGATGTTTTTTTATGATTATAATTGCTAGTTTTCACATTTATGTTGTTTGCTATCTGCCAACAAGCAACAAGAGCAGTTAATCTAGGTTGCCATGCGTTATTTTTCTGGGTTCTCTAATCTTGTTTAATTTTTAGACGTAGTCCATCGTCAAGTTGGGTTATTCAGTTTTATGATTTGTTTGGCCGAGTCACGTGCGAAGATCAGATGCTAGAACAACTGTGATCTTTTACTCTAGCATTGCTGTTCTGGTTTTTTTCCATTAACTGCGGGGTTTGTGTGAAAATCCTCTCATGTGGTCTCGTTGTGACACTACAGGCAGACGAGATCGCAGTGGTGCCCCTTCTGTCGGAACAACCTCAAGAGAGTAAACTCGGGCGATCTTTGGATATTCATGGACAGCAGGGACGTAGTTGACGTGGCGACCGTGACGAGGGAGAGTCTTCGGAGGCTTTTCATGTACATAGATAAGTTGCCTCTGGTCGTTCCCGACAATATCTTCGAAACATATGATTCTCACCTAAGGTGATTAAAAAATGGTCGAAACCGAAACCCATTGTCCGAGCTTGTTCTCCTCCTTGATGGGTCCTTACATTTTAATCCTGTTATGAGGGAAAAGGTTGTTGGTTAGTCCTGCCTCTTCATGTCAGAAGACCCAGCCTGATTTCTTGTGGGCTGGAGGGTGAAGTTCAGATCAGAGTTGGTGGTTCATTGGAAGTTCTACATAAAATCTGCACTTTACCAATTCTCACATCTGTATATATAATTTGTAAAGATACTTAGTGGGTTAAGTACTCTCTTTTGGCCTTCAAAAGAGAGAGCTTTTACTAGTTCAGCAATCTTGCTGTTTGGCTAGTCATAAGCGACATCCATTCATGGACCGTAAACATTTGGCGTTACGACATGAATATGGTGATTTCCTCCCAAATCTTTTCTTCGATTAGAAGATCTGAAGGAGCAACTAGTTGCCTCAGATAACTCTATTCTTCAACCAAAAAGCTGCAGAAGCATACCAGGACCTTAGTAAATCGATAAACTATATCCAGACATCCACATAAACAATGTAAAGTATGAACATGCTCCAAAACTAAAACCAAGTTCCCCTTTCACATATACCGGAGCTAAGATTAATAAAGTGGGAGACAAACCAAACTCAAAAGTTATATCATGCAAATCTCCACATACTCCCACATGTATTGTGGGCTTAACATGGACATTTCGCTTTGAGAACCTGTAGAAGTGTCAATTGTGCACCACTATTAGTCAACTTCATCCATGTCAACTGCTCACATTCATGCAAAGATTGTGAAAAGCAATATGGAAGAACCATCTGGCCGTGAAAAAAAAAAAGGCATGGAAGAACCGGTGTACATCTAGCACAAACGCCAAGATTTCTGCTATGACTTAAAACTATCTAAGAAACAAAGGATCCGTTGATTCAGAATATGGCCACACGTTGATTCAGAATATGGCCACACAAAATTCAAACTTCCTACCTACAGCGAGGGTAACAACAAAGTCCACAACGTATCGTTTGAGTTATCGCCACTACCGGGATATCCTAAATTCTAACCTACAGCAAGCGTAACAGACTCCACAGACAACGGATGGGCACCTCCATCATCACTCGTTTACTTCTGGGGGCGGAATCACTCATTTACTTCTGGGGGCGGAAGTAGGCAATCCCCACAAATGTGGTTTGGACGACCGTGAGCACCAGCAGCAGCATAACACCGGATCGACGAGACAATCAGCAATTTCATTCTTGTCAGCCGCAAGTGCCACTGGTCATTTGTGTACTCCTCCATGTCAAGGAGCAACTTGGTCACATAGCTCCTTCTGATGTCGAACATCATCTCTCGGCCCATGTCCCAAAAGAAACGCACAACCGCGTCATTAGACCCGAAGTATATGTCTTTCATGATTTGAAGTTCGGATAGGAGAGCCGCATCTTCGGAGTTGCTTATGAGTTTCCCGAGTAAGGTAACGTAGCAAGTGATGTTCTGGGACATACGCATGTGGCCCCCCTGCTCAAAGGCGAAGCAGTTGCCGAGGAAAGCCACCATTGTATCGTCTAGATTTATACCGGGCACTTTGAGCACTCCATTGGTGAAGCTAATGTCCAGGAATCTGGTACTCATCCTTGGCTTAAACTTGATGCCCACGAGCTTGAGCTCTTTGGCTGAGTAGTTTAGCCTTCGGTAGTCGTATCTTACGTCCTCGAGCGATTCAGTGGGAAAATGGGCAAAGCTAGAATGGAGTAAGTGAAGCAAGTGTCTTGAATTTGGGATGTCGTAGTAAGGCCGCATTACTTGTTCCTCCCAACAGAATGCCTTGTTGTAGCTATCAAACACCGGAGTTTGGAGATTACGAGGATCCTCCGGAGACTTTGACAGCTCGTACAGGATATTGAGGACGAAAAAAGGAATCTGGTTTTCAAGCTGGATGAAATCCGTGATCACTAGCCGGAAAATGCCCGGAAAATAGATGATCGGATCGTATTTGTCTGGTTCCAGTATTGATCCCATCACGTGGAACCACTCGATGATGAAACAGCCATCTAAAACCATCATCTCCACCAAATCCGAACGCCCCAGCTCGAGAGGCTTAGAGTAGCACTCTCGGATCTCCCCCTCTTTGCATGCGACGGACTTGAAATAGTCATTCAAATGCACTCCCCCGATCATTGGTGCGAGCAAGTAGAGCTGCAAGGTACCGTGCCTTGTGCTCTTCGACCATCTTTGTGCACTCGCGTCCGTGGTGGTAGGGACCGATCGACACAATATGGGGTTTAAAAGCCTTTTCATAAGTAGTAGCCAAACTTTGGGGCACCCGGTAAATGGAGCAAGCGGGTTGGCTAGCCGAGGCTCTCAAAAGAGTCGGCGCTTGGCTGAACCGACGTTGAACAACCGACGACCAGTCCTCCGTCGGCTCCAAAACTATCTGGTCGCCCATGCCTCCCTCTGGGATTATCTCCCTTCCGACTCTGTCTTTGTCCATGATTTCTACAATCACCTCTATCTGGTCGCCCATGTCTCTTTCTGGGATTATCTCCTCTCTGACTCTGTCTTTGTTAATGATTCATACGATCTCCTCCGTCGGCCTCGAAAGTATCTGGTCGCCCGTGTCTCCCACTGGGTTTATCTCCCCTCCATTTTCATTTTCGTCCATGATTCCTACGAATGTGCGTCAAAATGAGAGTGACCAGAACAAAACATGGAAGGGAATGTTAGGAAATCCTCCAAAGCGAGATTAATCAGTAAGGAAAAATGGAGACATTTGTTTCCTTAGACAAAGATGCATACTAAATGACCGAACGAACTCATTCGGCTCCATCTTGACCGAGATAGGGCAAAACAGAGGGTCGAGCACGCTCGAACGTGGAGGGTCCTACCACGGCTCGGTGAGGGTGGGTTGAAGGTCGATTGGCCGGGCGATGGAGGGCGGTGGTGCGGCCGAATTGAAAGCTGTGAGCGGGAGCGGGAGCCCGTATCTTTGTCCCTCTGGGATTATCTCCCTTCCGACTCTGTCTTTGTCCATGATTTCTACAATCACCTCTATCTGGTCGCCCATGTCTCTTTCTGGGATTATCTCCTCTCTGACTCTGTCTTTGTTAATGATTCATACGATCTCCTCCGTCGGCCTCGAAAGTATCTGGTCGCCCGTGTCTCCCACTGGGTTTATCTCCCCTCCATTTTCATTTTCGTCCATGATTCCTACGAATGTGCGTCAAAATGAGAGTGACCAGAACAAAACATGGAAGGGAATGTTAGGAAATCCTCCAAAGCGAGATTAATCAGTAAGGAAAAATGGAGACATTTGTTTCCTTAGACAAAGATGCATACTAAATGACCGAACGAACTCATTCGGCTCCATCTTGACCGAGATAGGGCAAAACAGAGGGTCGAGCACGCTCGAACGTGGAGGGTCCTACCTGGCTCGGTGAGGGTGGCTGAAGGTCGATTGGCCGGCAGCGATGGAGGGCAGTGGTGCGGCCGAGCTGAAGCTGTGAGCGGGAGCGGGAGCCCGTATCTTTGTCCCTCTGGGATTATCTCCCTTCCGACTCTGTCTTTGTCCATGATTTCTACAATCACCTCTATCTGGTCGCCCATGTCTCTTTCTGGGATTATCTCCTCTCTGACTCTGTCTTTGTTAATGATTCATACAATCTCCTCCGTCGGCCTCGAAAGTATCTGGTCGCCCGTGTCTCCCACTGGGTTTATCTCCCCTCCATTTTCATTTTCGTCCATGATTCCTACGAATGTGCGTCAAAATGAGAGTGACCAGAACAAAACATGGAAGGGAATGTTAGGAAATCCTCCAAAGCGAGATTAATCAGTAAGGAAAAATGGAGACATTTGTTTCCTTAGACAAAGATGCATACTAAATGACCGAACGAACTCATTCGGCTCCATCTTGACCGAGATAGGGCAAAACAGAGAGGGTCGAGCACGCTCGAACGTGGAGGGTCCTACCCGGCTCGGTGAGGGTGGTGAAGGTCGATTGGCCGGCAAAGCAATGGAGGCGATGGTGTGGCCGAGCCGAAGCCGTGAGCGGAGCGAGAGCCCGTATCTTTGTCCCTCTGGGATTATCTCCCCTCCGACTGTGTCTTTGTCCATGATTTCTACTATCACTTCTATCTGGTCGCCTGTGTCTTCCTCTGTGATTATCTCCTCTCCGACTCTATCTTTGTCCATGATTCCTACGATCTCCTCCGTCGGCCCCGAAACTATCTAGTCGCTCGTGTCTCCCACAGGGTTTATCTCCCCTCCATTTCCTTTTTCGTCCATGATTCCTACGAATGTGCGTCAAAATGAGAGTGACCAGAACAAAACATGGGAGGGAATGCCAGGAAATCCTCCAAAGCGAGACTAATCAGTAAGGAAAAATGGAGACATTGTTTCCTTAGACAAACATGCATACTAAACGACCGAACGAACTCATCCGGCTCCATCTTGCCTAAGATAGGGCAAAACAGAGGGCCGAGCACGCTCGAACGTGGAGGGTCTTACCTGGGTCGGTGAGGGTGGCTGAAGGTCGATTGGCCGGCAGCAATGGAGGGTAGTGGTGCGACCGAGCTGAAGCTGTGAGCGGGAGCAGGAGCCCGTATCTTTGTCCCTCTGGGATTATCTCTCCTCCGACTCTGTTTTTGTCCATGATTTCTACGATCACCTCTATCTGGTCGCCTGTGTCTTCCTCTGTGATTATCTCCTCTCTGACTCTGTCTTTGTCCATGATTCCTACGATCTCCTCCGTCGGCCCCAAAACTATCTGGTCGCCCGTGTCTCCCACTAGGTTTATCTCTCCTCCATTTCCTTTTTCGTCCATGATTCCTATGAATGTGCGTCAAAATGAGAGTGACCAGAACAAAACATGGGAGGGAATGCCAGGAAATCCTCCAAAGTGAGACTAATCAGTAAGGAAAAATGGAGATATTTGTTTCCTTAGACAAAGATGCATACTAAACGACCGAACAAACTCATCCGGCTCCATCTTGACTGAGATAGGGCAAAACAGAGGGTCGAGCACGCTCGAACGTGGAGGGTCCCACCTGGCTCGGTGAGGGTGGTTGAAGGTCGATTGGTTGGCAGCAATGGAGGGCAGTGGTGCGGCCGAGCTGAAGCTATGAGCGGGAGCGGGAGCGGGAGCCCGTATCTTATCCCTCTGGGATTATCTCTCCTTCGACTCTGTCTTTGTCCATGATTTCTACGATCACCTCCGTCGGCCCCGAAACTATCTAGTCGCCCGTGTCTCCCTCTGGGATTATCTCCTCTCCGACTCTGTCTTTGTCCATGATTCCTACGATCTCCTCCGTCAGCCCCGAAGCTATCTGGTCGCCCGTGTCTCCCACTGGGTTTATCTCCCCTCCATTTCCTTTTTCGTCCATGATTCCTACGAATGTGCGTCAAAATGAGAGTGACCAGAACAAAACATGGACGGGAATGCTAGGAAATCCTTCAAAGCGAGACTAATCAGTAAGGAAAAATGGAGACATTTGTTTCCTTAGATAAAGATGCATACTAAACGACCGAACGAACTCATCCGGCTCCATCTTGACTGAGATAGGGCAAAATAGAGGGTCGAGCATGCTCGAACGTGGAGGGTCTTACCTGGCTCGGTAATGGTGGCTGAAGGTCGATTGGCCGGCAGCAATGGAGGGCGGTGGTGCGGCCGAGCTGAAGCTGTGAGTGGGAGCCCGTATCTTTGTCCCTCTGGATTATCTCCCCTCCGACTCTGTCTTTGTCCATGATTTCTACGATCACCTCTATCTGGTCGCCCGTGTCTTCCTCTGTGATTATCTCCTCTCCGACTCTGTCTTTGTCCATGATTCCTACAATCTCCTCCGTCGACCCCAAAACTATCTGGTCGCCCGTGTCTCCCACTGGGTTTATCTCCCCTCCATTTCCTTTTCCGTCCATGATTCCTACGAATGTGCGTCAAAATGAGAGTGACCAGAACAAAACATGGGAGGGAATGCCAAGAAATCCTCCAAAGTGAGACTAATCAGTAAGGAAAAATGGAGACATTTGTTTCCTTAGACAAAGATGCATACTAAACGACCGAAGGAACTCATCCGGCTCCATCTTGACTAAGATAGGGCAAAACAGAGGGTCGAGCACGCTCAAACATGGAGGGTCCTACCTGGGTCGGTGAGGGTGGCTGAAGGTCGATTGGCCGGCAGCAATGAAAGGCAATGGTGCGACTGAGCTGAAGCTGTGAGTGGGAGCGGGAGCCCGTATCTTTGTCCCTCTGGGATTATCTCTCCCCCGACTCTATCTTTGTCCATGATTTTTACGATCACCTCCGTCGGCCCCGAAACTATCTGGTCACCCGTGTCTCCCTCTGGAATTATCTCCTCTCCGACTCTGTCTTTGTCCATGATTTCTACGATCTCCGTCAGCCCCGAAGCTATCTGGTCGCCCGTGTCTCCCACTGGGTTTATCTCCCATCCATTTCCTTTTTCGTCCATGATTCCTACGAATGTGCGTCAAAATGAGAGTGACCAGAACAAAAATCTATACTAAACAACCGAACGAACTCATCCGGCTCCATCTTGACCGAGACAGAGCAAAACAGAGGGTCGAGCCTACAAATGTAGAGGGTCCTACCTGGCTCGGTGAGGGTGGCTGAAGGTCGATTGGCCGGCTGCAATGGAGGACGGTGGTGCGGACGAGCGGGAGCGCGAGTGCGAGTGAATCGCTTTGTTTTGTTCCCGTTCGCTCTCTTTTCTTACTTTTTTTTTCCCGGCCACCCTCACTGTTCTCTCCCTCTTCGCTCTTGGTCTAGCTCCATACCCACCGATTTCCTCCTCGCTTCTCTTCGTTCTCCTCTCCTCACCTCCCCTGTCTCTCCCTCTCTCTCTCTCTCTCTCTCTCTCTCTCTCTCTCTCTCTCTCTATTCCGTTTCTCTGCTTGCAAATTCTGTTCTGTCTGCGATCGCCCTGCAAATATTTTTGGCTTGGAGAGAGTGTGTCCTTCCTTCCAGCTCGTCCGATCGTGTGCGCTGCTCGCTTCTCTCCTTCCCGTGAGATCGTGCATCTGGTCCCTCCAATTCCGCCATCTGCGCGAGCTGAGGAAAAAATGAAGGGCGGTGTTTTCGCGGGCCGAGTGAAACATGGTTGGGTAGGGTGGGCTGAGGGGCTGCGAATTGGACTGGAAGGAAAAAAGAAATGGAAGGGGGGAATGAT